ACAGATGGTCTCAGGCACCCTGTCTGGATAAGGGCAGGCCCAGGTGTGCAGACTGAAGGTGGGACAGGGACCAGGCTGCCCCTTCCTCCAGCATCTTCCCTTGGCCCTGCAGACTGTCCAGGACTAACTCTTTCTTTGGTGCTTGTTGGTTCCATCTTAGAAGAAGCTCTGCTTGACCAAGAAAGAATAGTTTGAAGGTAAGTCAGCGGCAAAAGGGCTCCAGGGGCCAGTGGGAGGAGAAAGCAGTCTACTGGGCATGGGGACTGGGCACTTTCCTGTTGGTTCGGGGTGCTCAGACAATCCTTTGCTTGGATCTGTCCAGGGGCCATGGATCCCTCTAACAACCACGGCTCTGGAAACCCCAGCAGTATTTGGGTTGAGCCACTGGCCTCATCCAAGCCAGCTGAGAGGTCCTGGCAGGGGTTTATTTAGGCAGCTGCCTGGTGTAGTTTGAACCGAAAAGGCCAAGGGTGTGAGTCCGTAGAAAGGGTCTGGTGTGTGCTGTGGTCACGGCTGGTAGGAGCAGGAGAGGGGTGGGTGGGGCAGATGGGGGTGGTGTGCACTGCACAAGGGGCCTTGTCTAGGCCAGGGGGCAGAATGTACCTTTGGGGGCTCCAGGGGGAGGGGCTGTGGCCAGGATGTGGGAGGGCAGGAGGGAGGCTCTGCCAAATGCTGGGGGGAGGAGGCGGCTGGAAAACAGATTTCAAGTCACAAAGTCAGCTAGGAGCCGGCCGAGGCAGGGAGAGCTCTCGGCTCAGAGAAGGAGCTGGGGTCCTCTTCCGTCCTGTCTTCGCCCCCTCCTGACTGCGTGACCTCGGGCAAGTCTTGGACCTTCTTTGGGCCACAGTTTCCCCTTTTGTAGAATGGGGGTGGTGGGCTAGGTGCTGTGGGGGGTGTCTTATCTGGATTATGTGGGCAGGGCCTTCTGATGGGGAAGAGCTCTGTGTCGGGGTGCCTTCTGTGGGTCTTTGGGGGTCACCTTGGAGGCATGTCCTTCTCCGCAGGATGCAGGAGCTGCGTCTGCTGTGCCTGGTGGTCCTCGCGGGCCTGGTGCAGGCCTGTCCGGAGCCCTGTGAATGCGGGGAGAAGTACGGTTTCCACATCGCCGACTGTGCCTACCGTGACCTGCAGGCCGTGCCATCCGGCTTCCCGGCCAACGTGACCACGCTGAGCCTGTCAGCCAACCAGCTGACAAGCCTGCCGGGGGGCGCCTTCAGGGAGGTGCCCCGGCTGCAGTCGCTGTGGCTGGCCCACAACGAGATCCGCAGTGTGGCCGCGGGTGCCCTGGCCTCTCTGAGCCAACTCAAGAGCCTGGATCTCAGCCACAATCTCATCTCCGACTTTGCCTGGAGCGACCTGCACAGCCTCAGCGCCCTTCAGTTGCTCAAGATGGACAGCAATGAGCTGACCTTCATCCCCCGCGATGCCTTCCGCAGCCTTCGCGCCCTGCGCTCGCTGCAGCTTAACCATAACCGCTTGCACACACTGGCTGAGGGCACTTTTGCCCCGCTCACTGCACTATCTCACCTGCAGATCAACGATAACCCCTTCGACTGTACCTGCGGCATCTTGTGGTTCAAGACGTGGGCCCTGACCACGGCCGTGTCCATCCCAGAGCAGGACAACATCACCTGCACTTCGCCCCACGTGCTCAAGGGCACGCGGCTGAACCGCCTACTGCCCCTGCCCTGCTCCGCTCCCTCAGTACAGCTCACCTACCAGCCCAGCCAGGATGGGGCCGAGCTGCGTCCGGGCTTCGTGCTGGCACTGCACTGTGACGTGGATGGGCAGCCGGCCCCCCAACTCCACTGGCACATCCAGACGCCCGGTGGCACCGTGGAGATCGCTAGCCCCAACGTGGGTGCCGATGGGCGTGCCCTGCCTGGTGTCCTGGCAGCCAGCAGCCGCCCGCGCTTCCAAGCCTTTGCCAATGGCAGCCTGCTCATCCCTGACTTTGGCAAGCTGGAGGAGGGCACCTACAGCTGCCTGGCCACCAACGAGCTGGGCAGCGCGGAGAGCTCGGTAAATGTGGCCCTGGCCACACCAGGTGAGGGTGGCGAGGACGCGCTGGGGCGCAGGTTCCAGGGCAAAGCAGCCGAGGGGAAGGTCTGCTACACGGTCGACAACGAGGTGCAGCCGTCAGGGCCAGAGGACAACGTGGTCATCATCTACCTCAGCCGCCCCAGGGGCCCCGAGGCTGCAGCAGCAGCAGAAGGGGTCTCTGGGAAGCAGCCCCCTGGCCTGCTTCTGCTGGGCCAGAGCCTCCTCCTCCTCTTCCTTGCTTCCTTCTAGCCCCACCCCCACCTGAGGGCTTGCTGACTCTTGCCCTGACCGCTGGCTGTCACTCACAAGGGGTGCAGGGGCCTGGGGGTAGCAATTCTTGGAGCCTGCATCAGGGACTTCCCACCTTCCTACCTCCCCTTTTCATCCCTTCTAGGACACTCAGCACCCCAACTTCTAGACTTGCTCAAAGCTAGTGACTAGGACGGAATTGGATCCCCTAACTCACCGTCTATGGTGCTAATTGCTGCTAACCACACTGCACATGCTCCTCTGTCTCAGGGGCAGCATGCTGACCAGGTGATGCCCTAACCACCTAGGGGGAGCCTCACTGATGGAATTCCAGGCAATGGGACTGACGAGCTGTCCAAGGCTACGGTCAGGGCCTGGGGCTTGGGGCTGGGCGGGGAAGTAGCCTGAAGCAGATGGGCATGGGAGATGTAGAATTAGGACACAGAGCAACTGACTGGCGTGGCTTTGAGGCTCTCTGACCTGCTTGAGCTCTTGTTGACCTTTGGTGTTCTCTAACGACTTGAGGGCTTGGGAGTCTCTGCCCTCAGACAGGACTAGAAGACCCAGGATGGTGCTCATCTCCACCTCTTCCTCCCTTGGTGTACCCCTCCATCCTGGATTCCTGCCCTGCCTTCCTTTCCAGGTACACATCTACAGCCTGCCTTCCCCACCCCCATCCCCCACCTCAGGAGAGGCTAGCCAGCCTGGGGGCGGCAGAGAAATAAATAGCATTTCCGATGCTCCCCTGCGTCTGCCTGGAGTTTTGTCTGGATCTGGGAGCCCTGCTGCCTCCAGCCCCGCCCCTTTCCAGATCAAAGGGTGCAATGCTTAGGGACAAGAGCCTGAGAGAGAAGCTCTGAAGCCTCTGACCAGAGCCACCAGAACTGCTGAGACTAGCAAAGTGGAGACAGGGAGGCCCAGGAACGTAGGGTAGCAGCTGTGAGACTTGGAGCCTGGCCAGCCCCGCTTCCCCCTCCTTCCACACGCAGTATCTCCCCATCCCCCCCGCTCTGTCCCCGTCAGCTTGCAGCTCCCACTGAGCTGCTGTCACCAGAGCACATGTCGAGGATGACTGCACCTCTGATGGAAAACAGCAGGATGGAGCCAAGTCCCCTGTGCTATGTTACCTTGGGTGAGTCACTGCCCATCTCTGGACTTTGGTTTCCTCAGAAAACAAAGGACGGGGTAGGACATGGTAAAGTCACGGGTTCCTTTGACTCTGAGTATCTAAGGCCTTATAACCCTAACCGAACGTGGGCCCCTCGACATCCCTGGCTCTGTTCACAGCTGAGCAGGTTTAGCTTCTTGCAGTAGAATGTGGGCCTAAGACCTGAGTCGGGGGTGGCTGGGGAACATTTGTGCCCTGAATGAACTAGCTACTGGCTTGTTTTAAAGTCACCTGTGGCCCCCGTGCCCTCAGGACGAAGCCCAAGTCTCTGGTCAGACATTCCTGGCCCCTCTGACTGGCTCTCTGAAGCCACCCGGCCCCACCCCTCTGGGAACAGCTAATTAATTGTCCCTTGAACGCTCTGAGATGTGTCATCCTCTGTATATTTACTTACGCTGTTCCATCTCTCTGGTCATCCTCCTGCTTGTCACTCGACTAAGTCAGCTTTTGAGACTTGGCTTAGGTACCACCTCCTCCAGAAATCTTTCCGGGATGCTTTCCCCTCACCTCCTCAAACAGGACTAGGCCCCCTCCTCTGGCTCACATAGCCCTGAGTGTCCAGTTGTCCCCGTCTGATCACTCTCTTGTGACTCTGTTTGCATATTAAGGACAGACCCTGTCAATCACAGACACAGGGCTAGAAATACATTTTTCAACGGGCTTCAGTGGGATCAACCCTGCCTTCCTTGCCCTCTTCCTGGGCACCCTTGGAGGTGGGTTGGAGCTCCCTGGCCCCCCACTGGCTTCCTGCCAGTTTGAGGCTGTAGTTTGGGTTTGGGAATGTGGTGGGGTCGGGGGTGGTCTTCACTAGCTGTACAGACATCTCTTGAGGCTCCACTGATCCAGGTATGTGGGGTGGCCACATTTGCCCCACTCTCGGTAGCCCCAGCCCCACAGTAGTCCCCACCTCAGCCAACCCCCCACAGGCGTGGGGGACCCCCTCAGCGGCCCTTCCCTTTGCAGGCCAGTCTCCTCCCACCTCCGTGTGTGTGTGTGTGTGTGTGTGTGTGAGAGTCAGTCTTGTCCAGCTCTTTGCCACCCCATGGACTGTAGCCCACCAGCCTCCTCTGTCCATGGAATTCTCCAGGCAAGAATAGTAGAGTGGGTTGCCATTTTCTTCTCCAGGGGATCTTCCTGACCCAGGGGTTGCACCCCCGTCTTCTGCACTGTAGGCAGATTCTTTACCCTCTGAGTCACGAGGGAAGCCCCCCCACCCCAACCTCCATACTCTTATTCATATTGCTTTCTCCTGAAATCTCTCTTCCCCAAATCCTGCACATTCCTGAAGACCCAGAATCAGTCCTACACCCAAAGCCCACATCACACAGCTCAGGGGTGGCACCCTGGGTCCCCAGGCTCTCCACCACCCAAAAGGATGTGGCCACAGGTTCCCCTCTGCCCTCTCCACCCAGCCCAGCATGGGACCAGAATACCCCAACCCCACCCAAGCCCCACAAACACAGTGTTGATTCACTGAGAGTCCGGGTGGTTTTCCCCACATATCCCCCTCCCCCCGCACTCCCCACCTTAGGAGGACTGCTTCTCAAGCACAAGTTTATTACAGAGAGCACACTAACCTCTTTCATAATCTCTAAGGGCATACCAACTACAAAAATATCAGGCTCTCAAGTGTGGCCAGCTTGGTGTGGGGCCTGGTTGAGCCACAACTTTGCTGTGGGGTAGGAGCCCATGGCTTCCTCCTGGGCTGCCTTGCAAGCCATAAGGGCCCCCAGAAAGAGAGGGGGAAGCTTTAGGAGACAGGATGCACTGCGTCTCGTCATGGTGGTGAGGTCCGTCTGAAGCTGAGGGGGCCAAGCTGGAAGGCTAGGTTGCCCTGGCCTGAATCGCCAACCCCGGTCAGGAGAAGACTTCAGGGAAGCCTGGAGGCTGGCGGCAGGGCCGGGCATCGGGAGGGGCCTGGACCTGCTTCCTGGACCAAGAGGCAAAACCACCGCTTGCCTTCTCTAGAGCCCTCACTGGCTTCCCAAGGTCAAGAGGGGCAGACCAGAGCCTTCCCGAGGCTCGAGGCTCATAGAGCTGACAGACTTCCATCCAACCAGAGTGACCCCCCGGCTGGTCCCGCTAAATCACCGGGACCTGCGGGCAGAGATGGGGCCAAGCAGAGGGCTGCCATGGCCATGGTGATGATGCTGGGAGAGCCGGGGAGGGACGGGCTGGGATGCAAGGACACGGAGGTGTGGGCTTCCCCCGCCTCAGGGCTGGGAGCCATTGGCCCGGGCACCCGGCGGGGCTGTCTTCCGGAAGGCCTGCAGAGCTGGGTTGTGCAGCAGCGTGTACGCCAGACCCCAGCGAGCCCTGCCTTGACGGGCCCTGGGCCCCGCTCCCTTGGCCACCAGGTCCTTGGTCTGTAGCAGCTGAATCCCTGAGAAGAGGCCTTCTGTGAGTCACTCAACAAACACCCAGCCAAACCCCCCCCTTCTCCCCCCAACCCCAAGATGGGGGCAGAATCTGAAAATCCCACATGTAAAGTGGGGGAGGTTGATGAGACAGGGGCTCCAGGTGCTATTTCACAGGGTGGGAAGCTGGGAGAAGTGTGGGGCTGCAGAAGGGCTTTGTTCAAGCTCAAGGGGTCATCCTCTGGGTAGCTGGTATGAGAGGAAGAGGAGGAGCTCTGTGGAGGCAGGGATGGGACAAGGGGCTGGAGCCAGCTCCGTGCCCTGCTCCCTACCACACCCAGGCAGAAGCGCAGGGGAAGGACAGACTGCTTAGAAGGCGAGTAGGGGGTGGCCTGGGTGGTGGGGGTGACTGAGCCCCTTAGCAAGACAGAGGACTCATTCCCCAAGTAAGAACTAAGTGTGTGTGCATACATGTGACAGTGTGTATATGTTAGTATCAAGGAAAAAGTTACCTTGAGACAGGCCAGGGAAATTCTCACTTCTTCTCTCCCACAGGCAGCCCAGAGAGGAAGTAAGCATTTTCCTGGCCCTCTCTCCCTTGCCCGTGTTGGAGACAGGGGCATGCCTTCCTCTTGGGGGAAGCCAGGTGGGTTAAACTTGCCCCCCATCCCCAATGGAAAGGCGCACCTTCCTCTTCCTCCCCCAGTCTGAGGCCATCCTGCGGGGTGACGCGGGGCTGGGGCCTCTGAGTTCGCAGGAGCAGGGCACAGAAGGCCATCGCGGCTGGGTGTGACTGGCTGACCTCCATCTTCAAGAAGTTGCAGTATGTGTGGTAGCCTGGGTGGGTGGAGGAGGCAGCGCTAGTCGGGGAGGACCCAGACGGCCCATAACACAGATACAGGGAGTGTCCTGCATGCCCACGTGGACACCTGAGCATGTGCACTGTGAGTGGCCCCCTGCCCAGGGTTACGGACATCCTCCAAGGAGACTAGGTCAGGGCAGACCCGCCCTCCCTGATTGGCCAGCCTGAGCATCCTCTACCCTTGGCTCCTGCCCAGTGACCTTACCGGGGTCAAGAGTGGCGGCTCTAGGAGGCAGCAGGCTGAGATCCATCCGGCCAAGGTGGACGGCATTGTAGAGGGCAGACAGGAGCACTCTCCAGGCGGCCACCATGGCGCCCACCAGCACGTTGACAGGGAAGAGAAGGAAGGTGGCTGCATAGAGCACTCGCCTGGGGTTGGGGAGAGGAGGGCTGAAGAATTCCCCACACAGAGGCCCTTCTTCGGCGTCAGTGTCAGACTGACAGGACCACCGTTGCCGTGTATTTACTGAGTACACCTCTGTGCACCCACCTTGTGCCTTATGTAACCCAGTTCACCCATTTCCCCGATCTGGGAGGCCCGGAGAGATGGGGTGACTTAGCTAAGGCTGCCTAGCTGGTCAGTGGCAGATTTGGGGTTTCACTCCAGGTCCACCTGGGTCTTCCTATGATCCTTGTGTCTCCCACCTCCCTTCTCTGGGTCCCTTGTTCAAAATTCTAAGCCTCTCCTGGGGCCAGGATCCTCTCACAGCCTAGCAGAGAAATGACATGGCTATTAACCTCCTTCCTGCAAAGGGGAGAGCAGGGCTGATCCCCAAGATAGGGAAAGCTCAGCGGGTATTTCTGGCCCTGTGACAGGTAAACAGAGGCATTGTGAACTAAGCTGGGCCACGGCCGCCTCTCTGTGGATAAGACGAGCTCTTTCTACCACCCGCTGGGGCCCCCTGTTAGAGAAAGGGGAAAGACAGCAGTGGAGGGAGAAAGGCACAGAAAGGAAGACAGGGAAGAAGCGGCCAAGGGCCTGTGGAAGCCACAAGCCCAGGAGCCACCTCACCGGTTGGTCAGCCCCGGGCGTCCATGGTGAGTGTCCAGGAAGACCCAGTGGGCCGCCGCATTCTGCAGGGTCACAGCCAGGACCAAGGTCAGCCAGAAGGGCCTGTGGGAGGTGAGGGGATGGGGAGGGTGTCACTGTTAGTGGCCCTTAGGGAAGGGGTCCCAGAAGCCTCAGCCCCTTCCTCACTCACCATGAGGACTTCAGGTAATGGAGGAGCAGGAGGTTCCTGCCGTGGAGCATGGGCATGAACACCAGGAAGGCCAGGGTCAAGGTCCCCAAGAAGAAGAGGATCTGTTGTACCAGGAGTCCTGCCAGCATCGGGAGGAGGGGCGCAGCCATCAGCCACCCCCGCCACTCCCAGACACGCAAAGCTTTGGAATCAGGTAGACCGGGTTTCAGATCCCTGCTCTGCTGCTGTTTAGCTGTGCCACCTTCAGCAAGTTACTTAACCTCTCTGAGCCTTGGTTTCCTCTGTAAAAAGGGGAGAGGGCCCCCCTACCCAGGAGGACCGTGCTAAGGAGGCAGTGAGACAAAATCTGTGGCCACTCTTGGAAAACCACAAAGTGCTTTGCAAATGTTATTTTTCCCCCCAATTGCTCCTGCATCCTTGAGGACAAGATAGTATTTGAAAATAATGTTTACATTCCTACTGGCCAGAGCCTGGCCCATGGTAGGCACCTGAAAGCTGTCTATTGAAATGACGGGCTAATTGTTTACCTAGGATGTGTACAAAAGGGCTTTGGAGGCTTAAAGTTTACTAATTCAAGGAATTATGACTTTTAGTGCTAAAAGTCCCTCTACCCCTTTTTATCATCTTTTCCTACCTTACCCAGAGGTGAGAGCTGAAAGAACCAGCAGGAAGGGAAATCAGACCCTTGCTGGCTTCGGCCTGCTCACATTTGAGAGGACTTTACTCACTGCAGTGCCCAAGGGAAGAATCAGAAACTCGAGGTCCATCTGGTCCAATTCTCTCAGAGTAGGACCCCCTTTGCAGCCCCTAGTAATGGCCACATAACCACGCTAGTGGAGGATAGGGAAGCCTGGCATGATACAGTCCACGGGGTTGCAGAGTCAGAGGTGACTTAGCGACTGGACAATAACACTCATGCTTGAATACTCCCAGTGACAGGAATCTCATTACCTACAGAGAGCCCATCATGATATAGCCCTCTCTTACAAAAGCAAGAATGTGCCTCCTTCAACTTTCCAGCCCTGGGTCACCCTCTGTGCTAACACCTGGTGGCACCCAGGAGCCAATCTAGTGATGGATGTTCTTTCACCAAAGGCTCCTGCACCTAGCCCTTCCCGCTCATCCCACCTATGTGGACTCCCTGAGGGCAGGGGAGGCAAGGTGGTTCTTTCCTTTTGCTTTTACCCCAGAGCCAGCTCCAGCACAGGCAGGCAGACACGCAGGGGCAGCCAAGACCTGCAGCACATTCTCCACCCTCCCCACGCCCAACTGGGGCCAGTGTCTGGGGTCAGATGGAGGTCAGTGCTGAGGTCAGGTGGAATGGACGAGGGGGGCTCACCAAGGCAGGTAAAAGCAGTCTGGTAGGCAGTGAAGCTCATCCAACAGAATATGGCCTGGCGGGAGGGGCGAGGGCTCTGGGTCAGGAGGCCCATGTCCAGGGCGCCCCCTCGGTGCAGAGCTTGCAGGTTGGTCCTAGGGTGGGAGTGAGGAAGGCAGGGATCTCAGGGAGCACACGTGCTGCCTTATTCTCAGCTCTGGGCCGGCCTCTGGCTGAACCCCCAGTCTACCCCACAGCCACGGGCAGGGAAGCCCAGGGCTGTGGGAGCCCAGTGGAGCCTACTAACCCAGCCTGGGAGGTTAGGGAGGGCTTCCCAGAGGAGGTGATGCCTGAGTGGAGTCTTAAAAAATGAATAAGAGTAAGCTGGTAGCGGGTGGGGCAGGGATCAAGGGAGACAAATCAAAACGGAAGACTCAACCTGAGCCAAGTCAGGAAAGTGAGACACAACAGTAGGGATGGAAAGTGACTTGCAGCTCAGCCACCAGGGCGGGAGGCCAGGTTCCAGGTAGGCAGAGGCTTGAGAGCCTGAGCCACCTGACGCGAAGAGCCAACTCATTAGAAAAGACTCTGATGCTGGGAAAGATGGAAGGCAGGAGGAGAAGGAGGTGACAGAGGATGAGATGGTTGGAAGGCATCATTGACTCAATGGGCATGAGTTTGAGGAAGCTCTGGGAGTTGATGAAGGACAGGAAAGCCTGGCGTGCTGCAGTCCCTGGGGTTGCAAAGAGTCAGACACAACTTAGCAACTGAACAACGACAACAAATGGTGCCAACCCAGTAAGAAAAGATTCTGGAGCAGGAACCATGAGACCTGATCAATGTAAAGTATACAGACCAGCTTCCTGCTAAGTCCCTAGCCCTCCCCTCCCCACCCACCCTACTCCCAACCAGAACCTTCTCTCCTTCTCTGCTCACACTTCTTCAGTGCTCCTTACCATTCACCATGAAAGGGCGACGTAGGCGGCTTGGCATTCAATATCCCACAAGAATCTCTCCGGTGCCCCAGGCACCAGCCGGCCCACCCCCTCGCCCACACTCACACTTGCTCTTGCCCATGCAGCTCCTCCCACCCATGGCACCCTGCCTCCCTCGTCTCCCGGTAGGATGCCAGCTCTCCCAGGTGACCCGTCCTCAGAAGGCAAACCCCACACTTCAGCCCTTTATCAGCCATGCCCTGCATTATTCACGGACATTTCTCCAACCAGACAGGAAGACCCCACCTCCACCCACCGCAGGGAAGCTGGCCTCAGGGACAGCTTGGTCCTGCAGGTATTCTCCCTCCCTCTAGTCCCGATTTCCCCCTCCTGGGTCAGGGGTCCTGCAGGCCCGACCTCTCCCCCACATCTGTATCAGGGGGTGTCAGAGCCTGCCACTGACCTGTGTATCACCAGCGAGTGGACCAGCATGAGGAATGTGAGCAAGCAAGACAGGACCAAGGCCGAGATGTAGCAAACTGGAAGGCCGAAAAGGAAGCAAAGTGGGAGGTCAGGGCCTGGGGCAGGTCTCCTGGGAACCTCTGAACTGCTGCCAAGGGGGTGATTGGCTGGGAGTTACCCCCACCCCACGCCCACACTGAGCGGAGGCTTCTCGTCACTTCCCCTGTTCTCAGATCCAGTGTAAGTCAACAACTTCAGTTGGTCCATCCTGCCAGGTGATGTCTGGTGGCCAGGATGGGAGAGGCCAGCTCTGAAGTTGTAGACCTGGCCCTCACCCTGGTCTTGCTGCTTCCACTGCTGTGTGGCCCCCAGTGAGGGACTCCATGGGGGTCTGCCTGGCGTGTGCCTCCAGCTCCATGACCTCCTGGCTGTGAGGCGTCAGGAGATCATGCCATCGCCCAGCCTCAACTTGTCCATACCAGGCACACCGCTGGGCTGCCCATCTCCCAGCATGTTGTGAGCCCTAAAATCCCATCAGGGCCAGCATCAGTGGCCTTGGTTCAGAGCACAGAAGTTGCGAGCGACCATCAGTGTGACCTGAGTCCATCAGAATGAGGGATGTGACCGCTGCTACCCATCTCCTCCCCAACTCCCCATCCACCCTGGCCAGGAGTTCCTTGTATCAGCAGTAACTAGGAGAGAATGCATGGTGTGTTGTGGACAAGCCTGGTCTTTAAGCATAGCAGGGCTGCAACCCTTCCACCCTATATCCACAGCCAGTCTCACGCAGTACCCTCAGAACAACCCCACAGGAGAGGCCCAGGGAGACATGGGACCCACAAAGAAGCTGAGACTCAGAGCTGGTGGGCTTGACCCACCAGCCACACCGCTTGGAAGGTATGGAGCACGTTGTGCAATCTTCTGATCTAGGATAAGCCTGGGAGGTCTGCACCCTGATCCCATTAGTCATCTGAGGGAAGTGTTCCTGGTTCCCATCAGAGACTCAGGAGGGGAGCAAACACACATGGGAGAGGCAAGCAGTGGGTCCTTGAAGCCACAGGTACTGGAGATGTGGGTCTTACCGCTGACAGCATATTAGGAGCTGTTTCAGTTCCCATGGCCCAGGGACTTCCAGTGACCCAGTGGTTAAGAATCTGCCTTGCACCATGGGATATTACTCAGCCATTAAAAAGAATTCATTTGAATCAGTTCTAATGAGATGGATGAAACTGGAGCCCATTATACAGAGTGAAGTAAGCCAGAAAGATAAAGACCATTACAGTATACTAACACATATATATGGAATTTAGAAAGATGGTAACGATAACCCTATATGCAAAACAGAAAAAGAGACTCAGATGTATAGAACAGACTTGTGGACTCTGGGAGAAGGCGAGGGTGGGATGTTTCAAGAGAACAGCATTGAAACATGTATATTATCTAGGGTGAAACAGATCACCAGCCCAGGTTGGATGCATGAGACAAGTGCTCGGACCTGGTGCACTGGGAAGACGCAGAGGGATCGGGTGGAGAGGGAGGTGGGAGGGGGGGATCGGGATGAAAAAAAAAAGAATCTGCCTTGCAATGCAGGGGACATGGGTTTGATTCCTGGTTGGGGAACTAGGATCCCACATGCTACTGAGCCTCTGCATCACAGCTGGAAAGCCAGAGTGCCACAAGGAAAGATCCTGAATACTGCAACTAAGACCCCATGCAGCTAAAAAAATAAATAATTAAAAAGATTCCCATAGCCCAAGCTGTGCCCCAGAGCAAGTAAGTCAGAATTTCTGGGCATAGGACCCAGACCTTAGCTTTTTGGAAAGCAACCCTAGTAATTCCAACGTGCACTCAGGGTTGAGAACCACTGAACTGGGTTTTTTTCCCCAAAGTCAGAGCCTTAATGATCTCTTTTAGTCAGCAGTTGATTGAAATCCATCAGGCCAACCAGCACATGTAGAGCGCCAGCTACAAGTGGTTCTCAGACTCAGTCTTGTATTTGAATCATGGAGAAAACTTGTCCAATCACAGAGGCTGGGCCCCACCCTCCAGATTTCTGAAGTCTGACTAGAGCCTTGGGATTTCTTCAAAGTTACCAGGTGATTCTCAGGCACAGACAGGGGTGAGGACAACCACTACAGAAACCTGGGGCCACTGTGCCTGCCCCTGGTTCAGTCGTGCAAGGAGGCAGAGGTGGGCCCTTTACTGAACAGAAGGCCAGGAGAAAGCCCTGGGCATGTGCAGCTCTGCTCCGCCCTGTCTAGAGCCCTGCCCTCCTGGAGCCAGTACAGTGCCAGCAAAGATACACCCTGGACTGTCTCAGCCAGGAGGCAAGGAGTTTGCCTGCTGAGCCTGCCAAGGTAAGCAAACAGGTTAACTTTTAAGTTTGAGGTGTGTTGAGTAGAAACCAAATCCCCTGTCCTAGACATGTCTGCCTCTTGAGTTCCTGCTCTGTGAGAGGAGATCAATGATGCTGACCCAACAAGGCTGCTGTGAGCAAGGTCTGAGCTTGGATATGGACTGATAAGGGTTATGTCTGCTCCTGCCTGTGGCTCAGATTGTGACCAACTTGGAAAATCTTAGAGATGTCATTTTCAGCCCATCCAGAACTTGTCACCTGTGGGCTTTAGCCACAGTTCCAGGACAGATTCTGGTAGGGGAGCAGATGCACTCAGGAAAGTGACGGTCTGGGAAGGAAGCAGTCACTGCATACACCTCTGCCCGCCCCTACTCCCTCCGTGATGGTCTTGGTAAGGAAGAGCTGCAGGGCAGTCACACCTCCACCCACAATAATGGCAGCCTAAGCTCTAACCATCACATGTTACTCCTCAGGAGCTAGGGTGCCTGTGCCAGCCAGAGACTCCCTGGCCAGAAGAGGGTGTAGGCCCCTTGACATCTGACCACCAGGCCCTGAGTCAAAGTGGTGGATAGTCCCAGCCTGGGTTAGGAGACTTTGTTCTCTCTTGGCTCTATTTCTGTCTGGCTGTACAAGACCAGTTCTTCCTCTTGTGTCAAGTGAGGATGTGTCTCAGTCTCCTGCATAGGGCTGTGGAGGTGAGGTAGGTGGGTAACAGGGCTAAGGGCTAGGGGAGGCATCAGACCACAGAACTGGGAGGAAGAGGGGCGGCTGGTATAGTTTCAGAGCTCAGGAGCTCATTGTCAAGGGAAGGAAGGAGAAAGGAGGTGCCTTAAGGACAGGCACTGGGGAGAGAAAGCATTTGCCCTTCCTGACCCCACCCACCTGCCATAGGATTAGCTCAGAATCCTGGCCCGCCATCCCACCACAGTGCCTCCTCTCCTGCTTCCCTCAGAGCCTACAGCTGTCCCCTCAGTTCACACACACCATGCCCTCCTGGACCTCCACACCTATAGAGAGGGGCAAGGTCGCTGGGGGTAGGGGTGGTGGTGGGGGTGAGAGATCCCACACAAGCTGACAAGGGGCCAGTGAGATGACCCCTTCAGGTCTCAGAGACTCGGAGCTGGAAGCTCCAGCTGTCCCAATTTGTAGATGAGACAGCCGAGACTCAGAGAGGGGATGCCCAAGGTACCCCACGTGTCCGTGGCTCCTGAGACAGAGCTCAGGCATCCCAGCCTGGGTCCCCACTGTGGCACCTCGGGGGCTCCTGGGAGGCCTCACCTTCTAGAGCCCACAGGTGGTGCTTCACCAGCTCCACCACCTCCTGCCTGTCCTCTGAGAGCACGATCCCAAAGCCAGCCAGCAGGTAGGAGACGTCCGTGGTGATCCCTGCCCTCACCTTCTGGATGGTGGGTACCACGCCCACTAGCAGCAGCAGGGCCACCTGGAAGAACCCCGAAATCAGGGCGGCAGGGCCTGGCTGTGCTCACACCAGGCACTCCCATCCCAGGAGAAGTGTTTTCTGAGACTTTAGGAGATAAACTCCAGCAGCCCTGGGCTGTAGCCACGTGCCCATCACTCATCACAGTGCTCTTATCTGTCTCTTAAAGCAGCATCCTCGGGCCTCTAATCAGCATGTTACAGATACGACTTTAGCCTCATCGGCCCCAGACATGCTTTCAAGCAACACAAGTGCATGTGCGCATCTCTGAATCATCTATCTAAATTTAGTATGAAATTTCCAAATTTTTCATGTTGGAGAAAGCAAGGTATCCCATAAGTGAGCACAGGCATTGAAGCTAGCTGGACCCGGATTCGAATTTTGGCTACCCTGAGATATCAGCTGTAGAAACAAGGCCAAGTCAAATTCATCTCTCAGCCTTAATTTCCTCCATATGTGAAAGGGAAAAGACTCATACCTACCTCCCAGGATCTTCAATTTTTTGGTCTTTTTTAGGGGGAGGGGTGATGGTGGCGGTGGGGATTTATCAAACATACATTATCTCACTAAATCTTCTCGACTGAAAGGAGAATAATTCTATTTCCTCCATTTCACAGCTCAGCTAGTGGGTACAGGGATGTTGAGTAACTTGTCCAACATCACTCAGGAGGTAAATAAAGGAGTGAGGATTTAAATCTGTGTTTACATGACTCCAAAACTCATGCTCTGACCCTGTGTGAGCCCAACAAGGGTTAGCATCCCCTCCCTTCTGTGTAGGCCAGCATTCCCAAGATGGCCAGAAGCAACAGGATAGGATTGTGGGTGGGGCTCTTGGAGAGCTGAGCGGGGGAGCCTGAGTCATCTCAGGGTTGGGGGTTGGGAGCAGGGGTCCAGAGGCAAACAGCATGACAGAGGCAGGACATACCTGGTAGATGGCCGTCCCTGTCAGGGTGACTGAAAGCACCAGCTTCAGGGGGAGTCGGAATCCTGCAGTCCCCAAAAGGAGGGGCATGGTGAACCCCAGCACCACCCAGGCCCCAGAGCCCCCTCCCGCCCAAAGGACCCGGGAATAGGACCACAGGTCATAGGATCCTGGACCACCCAGGCCAGTCAGGGGCTTCCCCTTGTCCCAAGCTGGGGTTGTTGCTCCTGATGACAATGGTAATAAAGGTCGGAGCTGGCTTTCTACAGCACCTGTTCTGTGCAAAGGAGGGTTGAGGTCACCTGTCACTCTTGACCTCAGGTCCCCACCCCATACCTCGCTGTGGAATGTAGATGGAGTGTCTGAAGTAGATCCAGGCCCGAGATGCGAAGCCACGCTTGCAGGTGTGGGAGCTGAGGAAAGACCCAGTCAGGAGGGAGCTCTCAGGAGAAGCTCCTGCCCCGAGCCTGGGCCCCAGGGTCTGGTTGGTTCTTCATCTCTGTCCTACCATGTGGCCCAGTGCCAAACTCCCAAACAAACCTGCCTGCCCAGGCCTGTCCCCCAGCCCTAAGGATGTGCCTGGAACTTCACCTGCTTTTCAGCTTCTTCTGGCAAAGGAGGGTCTTCAGATATTCTTCAGAGTAGCTGCTCTGCAGGCCCTGTGGGGACAGAAGGACAAGAAGATGGGACTTGTCTTGAGCCATCCCTGGGGCCCTGGCTCAGGGTACCATGGTGGGCACCTTGTAGGTGCTCCACACAAACCTCTTGGCTGTGGTAGACTACAGAGAAAGGGCACCTTGTGGGGATAAGGGCCATGCCCCCCAAAGCTGCCCTCCCCTCCTCCTTAAATAAAAGACTAATCCGTCTCCTAGCTAAGAACTCTCAATGCTGGCAAGTTTTTCCTAAGGGCTATTTCCAACCATCCCCAACTTTACTCAGTCTCTTCACATCACTGCTTTCCCCCTGGCCCTCAGGCCTTTGCTAGCTGAGACGGGGGTTAAAGGGAGTCTATGTCCCATGAGTTTATCCCTTGACCAGGACACAGGCTGGGCCGTTTTGGGTCAGATGCCCCAGGCCTCTCCTACTCCAGGGAGATCACAAGGGTGACCTGATTTGGCTAAGCCACATTCCAGGCCTTAAGCTGCCTGCCAAGTGGCAGAGGCCCACAGTAAGATGCGGTGAGCCCCTGGCCCCTGATCATTTGGAAAATATAGGCCAAGTCACCCATTGCCATGGGAACCCTGGGATCCAGGGCAGGTGTGGATCAGCTCAAAGAATGACTGTGTCCTTTGAGGATTAAAACTCTTTGACCAAGGGCCAAAGAGGATTTTATTTCTCCTAAGGCTTCCCAAGAGGAAAGGCGTGAAATGGAAGGAGAGGCTGAGAAGGTCCCCAGGAGAGGAGGGAAGGGCCTGAGCAAGGCAGAGACGTGCCTGGTGTATCCTGGGGAGCTGCTCCCCTCCTCTGAGCGTCTGGAGGGCAGTAGTGACAAGTACCGAGGACCCTACTGCTACCCTGTGAGCATGAAACCTGCAGTCAAGTGGGTCAGCGGGGGATCCAGAGCCACCCTGGAGATGCTGAGACCACCTGCCTCTTCTCCCCTCTGTGGGGACCTCACTCCTTCTCTGGTTTCAGTCCCAGCCCCTCTGTTGAGCTCCAGGTCCAGGGTCCAGCTGCCCGCCAGACCGCTCGGCACCACACACGCACAGCTGTACATCGTCCCCCACACACCTGCTCTCATCCAGGGCTCTGCATGTCGCCAGGAACTGGCGCCAGCACCCACCCGCTGTCTGTCCTGGATGCCACCCTTCAAGCTTTTCCTTCAACCTCCCCATCTGCAGAGCAACCAGCCTTTTGCATCTCTGTGGGGTAGTTTCCCTCCTCCCCCTCTCTCACCAGGAAAAGACTCGACCCCTCCTCCACCCACGCTCTGGGGTTGCAATTCTCACACTGCGCTGTAAATATATGTCTCTGTATCCATCGCCCCCAGCACGCTGGGAGCCCTGGAAGTCCAACACAGGTCACCTGGCCGAGTCCATAGCCCCAGCCCAGGACCTGCATAAGATAGGTGCTTGGAAAATGGAGAATATGATTGCCATATCTAGTAAGAATTCTCCCTTGCCATGACATATTCATCCACACACCCACCTACCCAAAACTTCAGAAATATTTGCTGAGTGTCTACCATGTCTACCATCTCCATCATGATGCTGGGAAAGTTTGAAGGCAGGAGGAGAAGGAGGTGACAGAGGATGAGACAGTTGGATGGCATCACGGTGTCAATGGACATGAGTTTGAGCAAACTCTGGGAAATGGTGAAGGACAGGGAAGCCTGGCAAGCTGCAGCCCATGGGGTCACAGAGAGTCGGACACGACTGAACGACTGAACAGTAACTCATGTGCTAAGACCTGCCCAATGCTGCAAATCATGCAAGAATGAAACAGATGCAGCCCATCTCTGTACTTCACACTCTTTGCTATGCCTGCAATGCCTTTCTTTTTCTCTCCCTACTCTAGGTCTTCCCTGTCCTTTAGCCCCTGCAATGTCTACTTCCTCCAGGAAGCCCTCCAAGCATTACTTAGTTCTTCCAGCCCTCCCCTTTATCCATTATCCAACCTAGGGTTGATTCATAATGCAATTCTGCCCCAGGTGCTCCCTGAATCATGTCAGCATCTGCAGAGCTTCTATTAGGCACAAGGCCCTGGCCTGTCTCATTTCTCCAGCTAGATCCTCCATGTTCCAGAAATAGAGCAATGAGTTCCCTGTCTTTCAGCCCACTTCTCCTTTGTTGAGTCACCACTCTGCAATCAGCTTGATGCTCTAGGTATCCTGGGTGCCAGCCAAGGGCCTGGCTTGGCCTTTGCTTGGGAAGGGAAGACTCACCAGTCCCTCAGCGACTCAGCAAATGTTTTCTGAGCACCTTTTATGTTCCAGGCCCTACACCAAGCATGACCACATATGGGAGACCAAAAGACCTGGGTGAGTCCAAGGTATCTTGAGTGCTGAGTACAAGCCCACCCCAGCCCTGCGCCTTTACCTTGGAACCCGTGGCTGCCCCACGACTGAAGCTTCTCACCAGCTGCGCTGGGTACCAAAGGCTCAGGAATCCCAGGCCCAGAAGGAGAGGCAGCGAGGCCAACAGGGAGTAGTACTTGTAGATCTGGAGGGACGGACAAACACCAAGACACATCCACCTTCTGCCTCCTTTCCCCACTCAAAGACTGAGATTCATTTCTCTTCCCAGCTCATAGGGGCCCCTGAAGGTGATCGAGGGTGTGTGGGAAGGCTTCTGGCTCTATCACTACCCTACAACCTAGGCCACTTGGCACCGACTCGTACTTCTCCTTCTCTGGCCCCACAGAGGTGCTTGCCCCTCCCCCAGGCCCCTAGACTCCCAGGGCCCTTTCAGGAGCCAAAGGGAGGATGTTTTGTGAGCCCCTCCTACCCACCCCAGGGGACTGCCATGGGACCTGAAACAGGAGACAGCCACCTTCTAGGTCCTGGTGCTTTGACACTGGCCTGTTTTTGGTTTTGTTTTTTTCCCTGTTACAGTTTGCAACCTTCTAGGTCCTGGTGCTTTGACACTGGCCTGTTTTTGGTTTTGTTTTTTTCCCTGTTACAGTTTGCAACCTTCTAGGTCCTGGTGCTTTGACACTGGCCTGTTTTTGGTTTTGTTTTTTTCCCTGTTACAGTTTGCAACCTGAGCAACTGCAAAGAACATGCCCTGCCTCCTGGGGCTGAGGCCCTCCTAGGGTTGAACATGGATTCATTTATTTGTTAATTCTGTACATTTTTACTGAGAGTTTAGTATGTGCCAGGTCCTGGCTGGTGAAAAAGACCAACCAAGTCCTTACTCTCACGGAAACCACCTGAGCTTCAACTCTACCCTGAGGGATCTGTGTTATCAGCTTCATTTATGGGAGCAGGGTAGGTAGGTGAGGGAACCTGAGCCTCAGAAAGGTGATAAGGTGTTCTCAAAGAACCTGGCACCACCTGGCATCATTGCATGCATTTGCTTGTTTGACTGTGTGTCCCCTTCCAGAAAAGGCAGCTCTTGGGATGCCAGGGACTTCATCGGTCTTAGTCACAGTGCTACTCAGTGACTGGAAATGCCCCTGGTACAGAGAATATGCTCAAATATGTTTATGGAATGAACTAAGGAAGGAAGGGATAAAGCTGGATTCAAACTTGGGTTGTCTGACTCTAGGCTACACCTACACCCTTTGGGCTCCAAACCAGGCAGCTTCACACCCCAACCAGGCCCAGTGAACCAGGTTCTGAGGTTCTGGACTTCTCTTTTTAGCCCTCTGAGACCATCCCCCAACTCAGCGCTTGCGTTCTGCAACTTTCTTCACTCTCTCTCCAGCCTGGCCAAAGAAAGTCTGGGCAATTAATAATGGGGAGATTTCAGGGTTCCTCTCCCTCCTTCTCTGCCCCTTCCCTCCCCTCCCCCTCCCAGACAGGAAGCTCCTGAGGGGAGGCCCGGCTGTCTCTCCCACAGAAGGGCCAAGCTTGGAACCAGCACATGGCTAAAGGCATGAATCCCTGCCCAGTAGAAGGCAGCAGGGAAGCGTGTAGACAGAGACGAAAGGAGCCTCGCCGGCTGACGCAGCTGCCCCAAACCGCACTGTCCCAGGCCATCCCGAGTCCGTGGTTACCTTGGGTGATTCGGGACACTCTGCCCTTTGCCAGACCTGGACCCCTAAATGAGCCCAGGACAGCACGCTGCCTAGCAGGTGGGCGGCTCCATGCCTGACGGTGGCACAGGCAGCCAGCGGATAGTAGAGGGCAGGGTAATAGAGCAGAGCCAGTATCTTCCGCGGCCCTGGAAGGCAAGACGGGCAGAGAGACACGTGATGGAGGAGCAGAGGTGGGGCCTGGATCCCGCCCAACCCCACTTCTCTGCTATCTCTATCTTCCCAGCCCCTCGACTGGTTCAATAGGCAAGAGCCCTGCATTCAAGCCAGACTCTTGACTAGTATCAGCTCTGTGATCTTGGGCAAGTTACCTCTTGAAGTCTCAGCTTCCCCATCTGTAAAATGGAGTAACATAGCATATTAGCAAAGATCAAAGAAGAAGGTATGTGTAGGGTGCCTAGCACCATGCCTGAGTTAGTACTAAATAAATTCAGCTACTATTTTATCACTGTTCCCATCTCTGACCCTCGGCCTCCACCACTGTACCAATGGAGCTGATATCTGCACTTTGCGGAGTCATTGTGAGGATCAGATGACCTAAGGCAACCACATTGGAGGGCGGTGGCTCCTCTGGATGGTGGCTGTGCTTTCTACCACCACTTCCTTAAGCCCAGATCAACTCTCCAGGACCCCTCCCTATTCCCCTCCCCTGCTCCTTCACATTCACACGGGACTAGGCTGTCTGAGGTCTGGGGGACTCCGTCTGTGCCCCCTCACCCAGGGGGGTGGAGTTTGTACAGGAGCACAGAGGGCAGCATTGACCCAAGGATGGAGCGACAAGATTTCAGACACTGTGGTGGGACAGTTGGTGAAGGTGATGGGACAGCGTCTTCTGGGCGATGGCGCACAGCTGGGATCAGGAGCCCCAGTGCTCTGGATTCCCACCAGCCCCCTGCCATCCATCCAGACCAGGGCCTTAGCCATGCTGGGTACCTCGGCCGGGTGGTGAGGTGAGGCTCAGGAAAGGCAGCGGGTCCTCGGTGGGGAGCAGCAGACACAGGGAGCTGAAGAGGACCATGAAGACGGCGGCAGGCACGGTCCGGGGCCTGTCCCCAGCCAGGAAATCCACAGGGCTGGTACAGAGCAGGGGCGGGACAAGAGGCCGTCACTCAGGCCCTGCATGCCCGTTACCACCCCGTGTTCCACACACTGGAGAGGTGGAATCCTTCCCCTTCCAGATGGGGAAACTGAGGCCCCTTCATGTATTCATTCCACAAATATCTGTGGAGTGCCTCCTATGGATCCAGACCCGGGCCCTATGGCAAGTGACTCAGGAACACGCCCCCCTCCCCCCAACATACAGACGCAGAAGGAGCAAGCCTAAGCACTGCTCCCCCCGCCCACTCTGGAAGCTTCAGGAAACGGCCGCCTCCACACTAATCGGTCTGTCTGGGCTGGCAGACCTTCAGAGAGCTGGAGAGTCACAACATCCTTATGCAACGGCCGCCGCCCTGGCCTGGGAGTGGCCCCAGGGCAGAGGGCAGACAGCGGGCACGGCTATCCCAGGCAATGCCCCTCTGAGCTCAGAGCAAGCCTCTGAGACCCTCTGCTTTGGTGCTCCAGCTTGCCTCCAAGCCCAAAGGGCTCCATCCTGCTTTGTTCACCCCTGGGCCCTCCCCTAGGCAGGGCAAGCTCTTTTTCCTGGCCAGCCAGTGCAGCAGAAACCCCCGGCTCTTTCCCGTCAAAACCAGCATGGCAGGCCCCACTCCGGTGTGCGGTGTGCATTCCGAGTTCAAGGCTGTCTACACTGGGGCTCCACCTACCATCTCCCCCGATTCTTCAGTCTCTCCCACACACACCTGCCCAGTCCCAACTTCTCAGGGTCATCCCCATCCCAGGCTCTGGAGTTGCAAGGCTGAAGGAGGCCGGGGGAGAAATTTCAGCCAGAGGGGCTGGAGGTCAGTCCCTCATAAAACTGTGTCAGGTCTAGGAAACACCCTTGGGGAAGAGGGTGAAGATGGCGTGGAGTGATCATGGCCTGTCTAGACCATGGGTTGCCTGAGGGGGTGTGTCCTGGAGCCGGGCCCTCTTGGGCCCGATCTCCCTGGGGTCTGGAACAGGAGTGGGTGCCCCTGAGCGGGTCCCTCCCCTTCTCTCTGGGGGTCCCAAGCAAAGCTGGAGATCTCAGTGAAGGGGGGCGGGATGGGAGAACCTCCAGACTGAGAAAGTTCTGGGTGGCACGGAGGCCCAGGGACCTAACAACTTACCACCCTTCCAGAGTGGCCCTGTCAGCTGGGCCCCCCAGAGAGGAGAGCCGAGGCTAAGGCACCAACCTGGGCAAGCCGGGCCTGCTGCGCCCACAGCGGGGCCAGAGCTGGCGGCGCCTCACCAGCATGGCCAGCAGCAGCAACACGAGGATCTGAAAGAATAACACAGAGGCGGGGCTAGGGTGCCCAGGCCTTCCCCCAGGGGCTGAGTCAGAGCCCTCGGCCCTGGGAGGCCCCTAACCCCCCGTGCACACTCGGGCAGCATGCTGGGGACCAGCAAGGAGGTGACAGAAGTTTGAGAGGTTAGACTCTGTCTGCATCCCGGTTTGGGTTCCCGCCCGGGGAGAATTCCCAGTACCACCCCCCGACCATCGTCTCCCTTCACCACCCCAGCCTACATCCCCCTGGCAGTAGGCCAGTTTGGACTCACCGACAGCACGGCCAGGCAGGCATGGTAGAGGCCAGGTGGCACGCTGGGCTGGCAGGAGGGGACCAGCCTGCAGAGCAAGTGAAGGCTGGTCAGGCCAAGGTAGGGAAACCCCAGGTGTGCGGCCAGGTCTGGGGTTCCAGGCTCACTAGGCTGGGTCTCTACCCACCACCTCCCTTGACCCCTCTGATCGCTCACACACAGTTCCACCTTCTCAGGGCTGTTCTGGGCCCCATGACCCTACGGGTGCCGCTCCCATACCAAGGCTTAAGGTTATAGGGCTGAAGGAGACAGAGGGCTCCAGGGGAAGACATGGGACAAACGGAATGGGTCAACTCAGCTTTTCTCTCCATCAAGGCTCGCTTCATTCCTCCCTCCTCCAGGAAGCCTCCCGGACTGCTCCAGGTGTCAAAGACCGCTTCTCCGAACTGCGGCTGAGCATACCACCTGGATCCAGCAATCAAGCACTTGGTTCTGTGATCTGCCTTTCATTCACTGGCATTTGAGTTTGGTCTGTCTGTGACTGGAATGATCTACCTTGGTCTTCCAGGATTTATGTCTCTACTTGTTTTACTTTTGCTAAGGGCTGGGTCATGTGTCAGAGAAAGGTATTAGGTGGAAGCCCTGAGCTCAGGATTGGACCTGAACCTAGAAAAGCAGATAGGATTGGGTTCCTGCAGGAGGGCTAGACCTCTGGGTTTGCCCAGCTGGAGCCTGGGAGTGCCAGAGGGAGGCCACCAGTGTGGATGGGGCCACCAAGTTCTGGCGGACGAGGCATTGGAGGAAGCCCCTGCTGCAGCTGGGCCTGTCCTGCCCAGGGGTGGGGGCAGGGGGCTCACCCACCCTGATGGGTTCCGTCCCCTGTGTGACAAGACGAACCTCAAGGGTGGGCCTGAGGACTCTGTGCTAGAACAGCCCAGGCTTCCTGAACTTGGAAATCCCAGAGAGTGAGGAGCAGGAAAGAACCCAGTCCTGTGGACTTGTCCTTCAGGTGGCAGGGTACAGAATAAGCCTTCTTTGTGCAACTTCTTGGCTCAGGCAGCTCCAGCCTCTTTCCAAAGCAGAATAGTGCTCGTGGTAGAGTAGAGTAGGTGCCACAGGGGATCAGGTTCCTCCTGTCTGCACTCAGGCCTCACACGCCCCACTTACAACCCTACAGCACCTTACTGGAGTACGTGGGGTGGGGTTTGGGTGAGACAGGGTCACTTGCCAGCCCCAAGAGTCCAGAGCCCCCACTCCTGGCCATCTCTGCTGGCATCTCATCACTTGACAAAGTCCTACTCAGTCCTGCCCCCCACCCCCAGGTCCAGCCAGAGCAGGGGCTCAGCAAACTGTCCCTGGGCAGCCTGACCCTTTCCCATTCATCCTAGACCAGGAGGCACCCTGGACTCCCTTAAGGGCCCTGTCTGGGGGAATCACTGGCCTTTCTGTACCACCTGGCACCCGCCTCCATCTACCCTTTATTTAGCTCCGTTTGGCTGAGACTCATGAACCCTCAAATGTTTGCGGTCTGGGCAACAGAAACTTGGCTGAGCAAATGTTGATGGCGCGTGGACCCATATTTTGCGCCGTGGGGCAGGCAAGATGGCACAGACATGAAGAACACCGTGGTAGGGAGGGTGGGAGCTTGATCCTAGAGGGAACACAAGCAGATGCTGAAGGATGAAGAGGGGGAGACATTTGGGGCAAGGCCTCAGAGCGGGTGGTATCTGAGTTTGGAAGATGGTTAGCATCTCTTCAGGCAAACAAGGGCCAAGGGAGCTCCAGGTAGAGGAAAGAACAGGAGGAAGTGCAGTGACAGGCAGCAGCGAGTGGAACTGGGGCCACACGAGGTTTTCAGCTTGATTGGGGCCCAGAGGGCAGGCTGAGAGCCGGTGATAGCAGGCATGGGAGGCACTGAGGGTGTTTAAGCGGGACAGTGTTCTAGATTTTAGGAGATTTCTGTGGTTACATTTGAATAAATACAACAGCAGGGACTTCCCTGGTAGTTCAGTGGTTAGGAATCCACCTCCCAATGCAGGGGATGTGGGTTCAATCCCCGGTCAGGGAACTAAGATTCCACATACTGTGGGGCAACTAAGCCTACACTCCACAACTGAGCCCGAGTGCTCTGGGGCCTATATGCAGCAACTAAGACCCAATGCAGCTAAATAAATAAACACTAAAAATAAAAAAATGCAACCTAGTACTTACTAAGCATTGAATAAGTGCCATGTACTGCCTGTTCCACATACTAACTCAGTTATTACCTAAGAGGTGGATGCTGTTAGTATCCTTGTGTAAACGAGGAAAACAAGGCTCAGAGAGGCTAGGTGTTTTGCCCAAATCACACAGCTAGTAAAGCACCAGAGCCAGGATTCAAACTGAGGTAGTCTGACTCCAGCAGCCGCAACTGAACAGGATATGAAAGATAAGGAGTATGTGGAAGCCATTAAGTTGAACCATATGAAACTGCCATTTCTTTACATCAGAGAGAGTTGCATATCAGCATTGTCAAATGGCTCACCGTAAACAGTCTCAGAGGTATTTAGGAGGAAGAACTGACATGACTTAATGTGGAGGAGCGGGAGGGAAGGGGCGTTTCTGGGATGGCTGTAGGGTCCTGGGCCTTATTCCAAGATGAAGAGTGAGGACCAGAGTCAAACGGAGTCCAAGGAAGCAGAGAGCTGGTACTGGGCAATTCAGAGGTGGTGACAGGCCCTCGGGAACAGAGGCCAGACTGCCATGTGGTAAGGACAGTGGGACAAAGGAGAAGCCAGAAAATTGTTTCAAGAGTTTGACTCTGAGCAAGAAGCTGCAGAGGGCCCCACCCAGAGCAGAGGGTAAAGCACAGCTCTGGGGGTGAGACAGGCTGACTGTCTGGGGCAGGGGTCTGCAGGCCTGGGCTCCAGGGGGGCCTGGAGCCCTGCTCCCTGGCCCTGTCCCCCTCCCACAGCAGAGTGACCTGCAAATCACCCTGGCGTTAGCCTCGCTTGGTAGGAGGGCAGGCCATGGAGGAAGCCTCCCAGTTCCGCCTTCCAGGCAGCCCTTTGAAGTGGTGGGGAGGTGACTGACATCCTGGACAGCTGCCACAGATGTATTTGTGTCCCCAGGCTCTGGCTGGGGAGTTCAATATTGATGACGGGTGGATGACACATGAGCACATGGCAAGTAGCACCTGGCCGGAGGAGCCTCTGGGGGGAGGAAGGAGCCAGCCTGGCTTCTATAGATCAATCCTATGTCCAGAGAAGACCCCAGCCAGTGCATCCCAACCCCATCACACTCACCCCCACCCCAAAACCTCTCCAGCCAGGCCTTGGTGCCAAGGGGATGCTTGAGTAAGTGTGACCAGGAGGTTGAGTCCATCCCAGACACTGTCACCAGTGCCCATGACCCCGACTCCAGCTCACTGAGGCACAGGGGGAACCCCTGTCCAGAGCTCCTCCAAGTTTTGGGGCACGACCTCACCGGGGTGTCTGACTCACTCAGGAAGAAGTGAGTCCAAATTCACCTCCTTGGGATTCCCCTGGGATCCCAGCTTCCCACTCCCACCTCCAGCAGGAAGCTCGACTTGGTTGGGCCAAGTACATAGAGTCAAACAAAGCTCTTCATTCTCACCTGCAGTGGGAGAAGGGAGCTACAAATGCGAGATGTCACCTACCGCAGAGGTAGTGCTGTTCGTCACCCAGTCCCTGCCATGCTTCCAATTTATTCTAAGGCCATGTCTAAATACCGGAGCCACGGAGCTGGCGGCGGGCACCCGGGCCCAACCAATGCCTGGCCCTGAGGTGGCTAAGGACACAGCTTCCAACTAAGGCCTTAACTTGGGTGGAAGTCTGTGTCCTCCTGGGGCTCCTGGGCCTCTCTCCATTCTTCTGCTTCTCTCAGCTCACACACACACACACACACACACACACACACAGGAGGAACCACATACAAACACACACACACACACACACACAGAGCAGGAACCTGGGGAGCCCTGGGCTTTTAGGCAAGGGAGGCGGGTACATTGTGCTGACAGCAGGACTGCTTCCCAGGTGGTCAGAACCCCAAGTCCTCCAAACAACACTCCTTCCCCCAGGCTGGGGTGGGGCCTCCCTGCCTGCCGGGTGACCCAGGCCTGGCCAGGCCGCAGCCCGGCCCCTGGGAAGGCACCAGAGCATTTTCCCTTCTCCAGTTTTGGTTGCTGATGGAGAACAGATGTGCACACATCTGGCTAGACGCCGCCCACCCCCCACCCCTGGCCCACCTCACCTTTCCAGTTCCCCAAACCCTCAGACAGAGCAGGGAGGTGGGGGATGGGGCTGAGGCCAGGAACAACAAGAGGAGAACTGGGCTCTGGGGCCCACGCAGGCCGGGCGTCCTTGGCAGCATGGGGGCACAGGGAGGCCCAGCTCCTCTGCCAGGGTGCCCAGACTAAACAAAGATAGAGGGATCTGGGCAGAGGCGGCCGTGGGCCGAGTCCTCAGGCCATACAGACTTAAGCGGAGGCCGCCTCCCTCCCCTGACCTGGCCCGAGCACTCCTGCTCAAGAGAACTGGATCTCCTATCTTCACGGAGCCTCAGATCAGCCTGCGCCAACAGGGCAGCCTGTTCCCCCAGGCCTCCCCCTGACCCCGGCCTGCTCCGAGAAACTGACGCTCATTAACAGCGCACCCAAGATGGTCACCACAGAGACCAGTAACCCCTTGAAGGCAGGCCTGACTTCCCTCAGCCACTCACCCAGCACTCTCCATCTTGGCTACCGGCCAGAGTCACCCAGCCCAGGTTGATCTGAGTTTGCAAGAGGGGCCCCAGGAGTCTGTTTTTGAAACGCACCACAGGGAGTTCCCTGGTGGTCCAGTGGTTAGGACTCAGCGCTTTCATTGCCAGAGCCCGGATTCAATCCCTGGCCAGGGAACTAATATCCCGCAAGCCATGTAGCATGGCACCACCATCCCCCCCGCCAAAAACAGTCAAAAAATAAACACACCACACAGGTGATAGTTAGGTGCCTAGCCTGGCCGAGGTCCCCCACCTCAAGTATCTTAACACCAGCGCGAGGGCTGTTCTCACAGAACAGGGGAGGAGCTGAAACCCAGAGAGGCTGTGACTTGCCGAGGGTCCACACAGCGAATGAGCGACAGAGTCCCTCTTAGCAACCCTTGTTCAGGGTCTTCCCCACCCGCCCCCCAATATCAGTAACCTCTGCCACACCCCTCATGCTGGCCAAGAAGAGCCAGAGAGAGTCCAACTCACCCCTCGGGCTGGAGCTCCTGGCCACCCTGGGGCTCGTCGATGTACCAGCTGTCATAGGAATCCTCGTCGTCAGTGGCCCCGGAGGAGGTCTGGTTCCCTGCTGCCTGGGTGGACATCCTCCGACCCTTCTCCTCTGACCCAGAACAAGAGGGAAAAAGCCACTACAGATGTGAAAAGAGGCTTGGGGGGCGGAAAAAAAGAAGAAAGAAAGAAAACCCAAACAAAGAAACGTTTCTCTTTAATCCTAAAGGTTACTTTCTTGCTTTTAGCTCTCTGGGAAAAGCCCGTTTGGGAGTGAGGGCCGCAGGAGGGAAGGGCTTCTTCGGTCCCCTCCTGTCCCTTCCCGCCCAGTCTCCTGCGGTCCTGCAGGAGGCTATTATCCCTCGGGGTTGGTGCCCCCTCGGGGTCCCCGGGCTCTTGCTAGAGCACCTGTCTGTCTCTCTCTGTGACTGGCCACGGGTAGGCTTTGCCTCAAAGCACCATTTTCAAGGAAGTTTTATCCAATCCAAGCTGCCCACAGAGACCTCCCCCCTTCCTTCCCCTCCTCCCAACCACCCAGATGGACCCACAGACACACACTCAAGGAAGGACCAGGGAGGAAGAAGCTGCGGAGATGAAAGGGTGGGCGGGCAGCAGGCGGGCTCAGCACACCCGGCTGGACTCTCCCAGCTGGGCTCCTGTCCCCTCCCGCTCTCAGGGGTCCAGCCCAATCCCCTCCTCTTTGTTCAGGTTCCCTGGAGACCATCCCCCAGTCTCAGCCGGCCCCTCGCTGGCCCCTGTGGGCGCCAGTGATGGGAACATACCCAGGGTCCTCGCAAGCCCCCCTCCCAGAAGTGGAGGCCCAGCTCCACCGGCGGCCCAAGCCTGGGAGGAGCATGATCTGGAGGGCCGGCACCTGACTGCACCCACATACCTGCCTTCCGCGCCTGCCCCAAATCGCTCACACCTTTGCCCAGCACATCTACTGGGCCCCTGCTTATAAGTCAGGCATTCCGGCAACCCAGGGAGACTGCTGGGGCTGGGCCAGGGGTGGAGGCAGGGGAGGGAGCCCGTCCGTTCCTTCTCCTGGAGGAACATGTGTCCCTCGCGGGTAAAACCTTTTTGTTTCTCCAACTTGATTTCACAAGGAGATAACTCACCCCCACAAGGCAGAAGTTAGTCCTTTAAACTCAAACCAGACCCACGGGTAGGCAAGAGCCCTGCCTGCCTCCTGTTCCTCCCGGAGTGTGGGATGTGGGTGAGGAAGGCAGGAGTGGGGGTTCCTCTCCCCTCCCTGGTCCCCAACCGTGGGTGGGAATACAGCAAGATACAGAAGAGGCAGAGAGGGGTTCTCAGGACCCTACTCCTGGGTGGGAGTCAGACCCCCTCCCTGAACTTTTGAGGGTCCCTGTCCTTTCAATACCCCACAGGTGCCTGGGCCCCTGCGTTACCCAGCTAAGGCATTCATTCAACAAGCTTCAGAAAAGGACATTTATCTACTTATTGTTTTAACACACATCCACTGAACACCTACAAAGTGCCAGAACTCTTTGGGGCCCTGTGACAGGAGAATCTACAGTTTAGGAGGACGCAGCAGTTTAGGAGGAGGTGGTAAATAAGCTCGAATCTGACGGTTACAAAGAGAACACAGATTGCCCTGACGTACACCACAAGAAACTGAATTTAATCTGAAAGGATGGGTTGGGTGGGCTGCAGGGAAGCGTGTTCCTGATAGAGGGAACAGTGATGCTCAGAAGGGTCAGAGCTTGAGATCCTAAAAGCTCTCCTTCCAAATTCTGTAGCCAGGCCCACCAAGCCTTCCAGAATTAGGACATGATTTTGCTCAGTTGGCCTTGGCTCCTCCCTCTCCTTCCCATGGCCCCTCTTCCAGGAAGAGGGTTCTGGCCACCCCTCCCCTCCCCCACAGAGACATCAGAATCTTGCTGACTCAGAGCTGAACCTGAACTTTGATGCAATGCAGGAGCCCACACTGCCCATCTGATTCCAGGCATTTGGGGGTGAATCCTGCCTCCCAGGCCCTGCTACGATCTCCTAAGGACTGAGCTGGGTCTCTGCTCCTCTGCCCTCCTTCCCCTGATGCACAGTACACTGGGGCCACACAGACTATCTAAACTGGGTTTGGCTCGCTGCCTGTTCTGGTGACCGTGACTCCTCCATGGGCCTGTTTCGAGCAGGCTGCTGTTTCCCCAGGCAGGTTTCCAGAGCCCTGTGCTCCAGCACTGAGCTCACCTTCCCTTCACTGCTGAGGAGTCCTAGATCTGTAGGTTGCATGCATGCCCGCTAGGTTGCTTCAGTAGTGTCCGACTCTGTGACCCTATGGACTGTAGCCCACTGTCTATGGGATTCTCCAGGTAAGAATACCAGACTGGGTTGCCATGCCCTCCTCCAGGGGATCTTTTAGGGAACAACTAACTCTCTGATGTTAAATCCCCCTCCTGATTCCTCCAACAACTGGATTCCAGTCTGTGCTGGGGAGCTCACTTGCTCTACCAGGTAGAGAAGTTCAGAGCTGGATAAATGCCCATCAGAAACTGCTTCCTACCCTACAGGGAGCCTGAATCTGCCTTCCCAGTCTGGTTTGTTCATCCCCTCCTTCATTCAACAGCTCTAACTGCAGGCCAGTTATGTGCCAGGCAAGGTTCTCCACGCTGAGAATAGAGCAGCGAGCAAGACAGAGAAAGTCCTGCACCCCAGGGACCCTCATGTGTAGTAGGGGTGGGGAGAGAGAACATGTATCAGGTGTGCTGCAAGGGAAAATAAAGTGAGGAGAGAGAGGAAAGACAGACAGAAGCAGGCTATTTTCGGCAGGATGCTGAGGACAAGCCCAGGTGAGATGGTGATGTTTGAACAAAGGTGGGCACCCAGATGGGCACTGAGGAAAGGCACTCACGCTGCCTGGAGGGCTCTGCATCAGCCTCAGGGGCTGTAGCCAGAACAGCAGGGAGGGGCCCAAGCTACAAGGTCCAGGCTTAGCCCCTTCCCCATAGTGCTCTTCCCTGACCCAAAGCCTGCTCTGCTTCCAAAGAGACCTCAAGTGGAGGCCGTGCCTTTTCCCAGGGCTAGCCCAGTGCCCATGCAGAGTATGCGGAGACTACTTTCAGGAAAGCCCTAAGCAGAGGTAAGGAGATGATGAGTTTTGCCTCTCTCCCCAGGTCCGGGCACAGTGGAGAGAGGGCAGCCTTCTGCCCAGTTCCCCTATTCAGGGCCAGGCTGAAAATGGTAGGAAGCAGGTCCAGAAGAAAAGAGCTGTGTTTCTACATGGCAGGGAGAAGTGCCCTGGTTGGGCAGGCAACCTACCTGGATTTGAGCCCTGGGATGGGCTGTGTGACCGTGAGTGATTCCCTTGGCTTCTCTGAGTCTCAACCCTGCCTCTCTCCCGGGATGGGGCAGGTTATCCAGCCAGGAGATTCTTTGATTGTGGGCTCTCTCCTCTCTCCAAGGCCCCCGCTCCCTGCCCTCAATGACTTCACGGCCCAGGAATGTGGAGCCAGCACACCAAGCACTGGTTGTAGTAAGAAGGTCAAAGCCACAGAGTGGCTGCGATTGCCCAGGGTCCCCCATTGTCTTCCACCCACCCACCCTCTTAGCCCCCCAGTGGAGCGGCCTCCACGCTGGTGGGGGCAGGGAAGCAGGCTGGGTTGAAGATCCATGGCTACCCGGTGGTTGCGGAGCTCAGGCTGGGAAGGGGACCCCACTTCTTGAGCCCAAAGCACCACCCCAGCTTGAAGGTAGGAGAACTCACATCTGTGAAATGGAAGGTTATCACTGAGGTGTTAGGAAGGATGCCACCCAGTCAGATTGTGAGCTGGTGAGAAGAGAAAGGTGGCAAGGACATGTTCCTGAATTCTCCCAAAGGCCTGGAGGCAGAGGAGAGGGCAGGCCCTCTGGGGTTGGCTGTATAGGGGAACTCTATCCAGAAGAGTCAAAGACCGGCACCTGCCCTCAGGAGAGGAAGGGATGTTGAGTGGAGGTAGTTGGAAGACAGACAGTGAAATCCTGGAGAAGGGAGAAGAGGGGAGGAAGAATAAAGAGATGGTTTGAGAAGTCTTGGAGGCTTCCTGGAGGAGGGGGCCTGGAGCAAGGCCCAGAGGCCCAGAGGCTCAGACAGTAAAGAATCAGCCTGCAATGCAGGAGACCTGGGTTCAGCCCCGGGTCGGGAAGATGCCTTGGAGGGGGAAATGGCAACCCACTCCAGTATTCTTGCCTGGAGAATCCCATGGATGAAGCCTAGCAGGCTGCAGTCCATGGGGTCGCATAGAGTTGGATGCGACTGAGTGATTAACACTTGAGCAGTCTTGGAGGCTTCCTGGAGGAGGGGGCCTGGAGTGAGGCCTTGAGGTCAGACAGGGTCAGCGATGGCAGCAAAGATGAGTTGTGTCGTAGGAGAGTTGACAAGGGGAATTTGAGAGGCAAGGACAGTGCAGAGCAGGGTTCGGAGATGCCTGGCACACTCAGATGAGGCCAATGCCAATACCCAAGGAACAGCACAGGCCAATAGGGCTCCCAACTGAATACAGATCTGGGGGTGTTCATGCTGAGAGGGGGTCACCAAAAGCTTCTGGGCTTGAGCAGACAAAAATCATCTGCCATCTGGGCTTGGCACTGAACTGCCTGGCCCTGCCCCTTGCGCTGGAGTTGGCCCATGCAGGTCTCAGGACAGGGCTTCCTTCCTCTCCGTGTTTTTGTTCAAGTTGATTAAATCTGAGGAATTTTTGCGTCCAGGAACAGAGGCCCACGTGTGTGCCTTCAGCAGCCCATGGTTATCAAAATCCTTAAAAGGCAAAGTGCTAAGTTTAAAATGAACTGACAGTGGGGCGGAAGGCATGAGGAAGAACCTCAGACACACCCCCAAGGACCTGCAGTTCCTCCAGAGCCCCCCACTCAGCATCTTAGCAATATCCCCAGAACTTTAGTAACACCACAAGAAATCCCAGAACCCAGTGTCAACCCTCTATGAGCCCCCAGAACGTCAGTAACACGCCAGAACATCTAAAACACCCGAGAACCCCAGCCACTTTCCGAGGACCCTCAAACTCTGGCAAATCAGGCATGGGTGGGGCAAGATGGTCAAAACCATGGTGGGTAGGTTCTAAAGGCCCAGAGACCCCTCACTGCTCACCACACTCCCATCCCTCCCAGCTTTTGCCTTGGAAGTCCAAGTGCACCCCCAAAATTTCTGCACCCAAACCTCAGTAACACCCCAGAACCTCAGCAACACCCCAGTCTCCGGCAGCACAGCAGACAATGGCCAAGGAG